ACTTTTCAGTATTTTGATGTCTAGTTTCTTGAGTTCTTTATATATTGTGGAGATCAATCCTCTGTCAGATGTGGGGTTGGTGAAGATCTTTTCCCATTCTGTTGGCTGTCTTTTTGTCTTATTGATTGTGTCTTTTGCCCTGCAAAGGCTTCTCATTTTTGAGAGGTCCCATTTATTAATTGTTGTGCTCAGGGAACATGAATCTTAATAGGTCTAATTAATAAAAAAAAAAACCTGGAGGTAGAAATTGGAGTGAAAAACTGAGGGGGCAGAGAGAAGCCAGCCATATACTTACCTAATTGGAGATCCTCCATCAAAGAGACCTACTTCCTCTATACCCACACCTATATGCCTTTCTGTTCTGCCATCTCATTTCCTCTCCACTCAGCTACATCACTTCCTGTCTCTCTGTACAGACCCCTAGACATTTATGGTTAGTTTTGGGAATTTTAGGTGTGTGCCACCATGCCTGTCTCTGTTCTTAGTGTAGTCTTGAACTCATAGAGATCCAGTCTGATCTGTGCATCCTGAGGGATAGGATTAAAGGTGTGGGCTACCACTGCCTGAGCTCTATGTTTACTTTAGTGGCTGGCATTTTCTTCTGATCCTCAGAAAATCTTTATTAGGAGACACAGATAAAATATCAACACATTTCACCTTTTCTTGTCCAAATAGTAAAAAAGCTATAACTAATAAGAAAAACTATATTCAATAAGTACAATAACTATATACAATATATACAAGCAATAAATACATCAATAATGTTATTTGCATTTGCATTTGACAAATTCAGAGAAAAGATTCCATTATCAATCGTATTTTGGTGAGTTCAAAATGTACCTAATTCACTTTCTATCCTAACTTATATTAACCACCAAAATTTATCTTTTGATGCCTTTCAAACTTAAACACTTAACACCTCTCAATGAGTTTCTTTTCTAAATTGACAAGGAAAACTGTGACTACAATTATCTAATCTTCAACTCCCTCAGATACCCAAGAAGGGAATAATATTACATAGTAAAACAGGAGGTACAAACAAGCAATTTCCAAAAAATGTGATAGAAACAGCCAGCTGCCTGGACAGTCACCTGAGGTTTCTCTGCAACTTTCAGGTATCATCTTCAGTCTACAGGCTTAGCATATCTGACAGACTCATTTGTGAAGCAGGATTTTCTAAAGAGCCTTCCTGCCTTGTCTTGGCAAGGATCAGCAGTCATTTGTTTTGTGTCCTGCTTTTCCATTTTGGATAGCATACTTTCAGAAGTCAAATTGAGGACACTTTCTTGCCTAGTGGCTAACATTTGCCACAGTGAAAGTTAACTTCATATGGAATTTCTTCAATGCCCATCATTTTCTCTGAAGTTGATTGGTGCTGTCAGGAGTAGACAAGTCTCATAGTCATTAAAAAAAAAAGAAAAAGAAAAAGAAAAATCCGCGTCAATAAAACAGCTTAAATGTCATATTCTGAAGATATCTGAAGGGTTTGAAGATGACCTGCCTATCTAAACTATATCTCTTCTTGACCTTGAAAACATACCTAATATGACTACAAGTTCAATTGTAATGAATAACCACTAATTTTCTTTTTTTTTTCATTTTTCTTTATTAAGAATTTTTCTACTCACTCTACATACCACCCACAGATCCTACTGCCTACCTCTCCCCACCCCCAGCCCTCTCTCCCAAGCCACCCCAAATCCCTATATCCCTCAAATCAAGATCTCTCATGGGGAGTCAGTAGAGCCCGGCATACTGAGCCTAGGCAGGTCCGAGCCCCTTCCCACTTCACCAAGGCTGCACAAGGCATCAAACAACAGGCACCAGATTCCCAAAAGCCTGCCCATGCACCAGGTATGGATCCTGATCCCCCTGCCTGGGTGCCCCCCAAACAGTTCCAGCCAAACAACTGTCTTCCATATCCAGAGGGCCTAGTTCACTACCATCAGGGCTCCAAAGTCACTAGTCAACAGTTCATGGACTTCCACTAGGTTGGCTGGTCATCTCTGCACGTCTTCCCATCATGATCTCAATGTCCCCTACTTGTAGAATCCCTCCTCTCTCTCAACTATTGGATTCCTGGAGCTCAGCCTAGTACCTGACTGTGGATGTCTGCATCTGCCTCCATTAGTCACTGGACAAAGGCTCTATGATGACAGGTTATTCAATAGACCAGTCACCAGAGTAGACCAATACAGGCACCCTCTGGACCACTGACAGCAGTCCAAGGTGGGATCATCCTGAGAGCATCCCCAGCACCCTGCCTCTTCCTATTCCCATGATGTCCTCATCTATCATGGTATCTCCCTCTCTGCCCTCCCACTCTGTCCCTCTTCCAGCTTGACTATCCCATTTCCCTGTGTTCTCATCCCCCACTCCTCGCCCTCTGCCACCTCCCCCATACCCAGTCTGTTCATGTAGATCTCATCCATTTCTCCTTTGCTGGGTCATCCATGTGTCCCTTCTAGGGTCTTTTCTTGCTAGCTAGCCTCTCTGAAGCTGTGGGTTGCAGTCTGGCCATCCCTTCCATCACATTTAGTATTCACTTATGAGTGTGTACATACTACGTTTGTCTTTCTGAGACTGGGTTACCTCACTAAGGTTGATATTTTCTAGTTCCATCCAAATGTCTGCAAATTTCATAATATCATTGTTTTTTTACTGCTGAGTAGTACTCCATTGTGAATATGTGCCACATTTTCTTTATCCATTCTTCAGTTGAGGGGCATCTAGGTTGTTTCCAGGTTCTTGCTATTTATGAATAATGCTGATATGAACATACTTGAGCATGAGCCCTTGTGGTAAGTTTGAGCATTACTTGGGCATATGCCCAAGAGTTCTAACCACTAATTTTCATTTCTTTATATCCTACTTAGTTAGTAACAATAACTTTCAAGGATTAGCAAATGGCATTACATTGTTAAATGAACTGTATAGGTACAATACCTTGAACAAGATTGGAAATATATGTACAATATATTCTAACAAAATCAATCTCAAACTGATATCAATATACATAATTTCTATACAATATACAAAAATCCAATCCAATGTAAAATATTTAAAACTATTAGATGCCTTTTAAAAGTAGATTTAAGCCGGGCGGTGGTGGCGCACGCCTTTAATCCCAGCACTCGGGAGGCAGAGCCAGGCGGATCGCTGTGAGTTCGAGGCCAGCCTGGGCTACCAAGTGAGCTCCAGGAAAGGCGCAAAACTACACAGAGAAACCCTGTCTTGAAAAAACCAAAAAAAAAAAGTAGATTTATTAATCTACCCTTTTATCTGTATCATGTTTACATCCTCACTTTTTGCTTTTCAGAGTAGATTCAATAGTCTCCCTCCTATCTACATCCTCTTTTTTTCTTTTTCTTTTTTTTCAAACAAGAACCTTAAATCTATCTCCTTTGTTTAGCCTTATTCTTGACCATTAATAATAATAACTTGTAACCAACCATCCTAAATAATGACAGTTATCCAAAACCCACAGAATGACCAAAAGCCACCAGCCCCACCACTTGGGAATGTGGGCTGCATGTTCTTAATTACTTACTGATGTTTGGAGTTGAAGGCATCTTTAGGAGATGTTGTAAAGAAAAATTTTGGGTTAATTGTCAAGTCCTGGGAGAGGTAGCTGTATCATTTGATGTCCAGTCTCTGCATATGCAAAAGTGCAGGGCTTATCTCAAGTCCTTACTTGAATAGTCTGTTGGGCTAGATCATCTCAGCTAGCCATCTTGAAATTGTTCTGAGCAGTTTGTACTCCAAAGCTGATCTTTGGGTGATGTTTGTCAGCTTAGTGGTATTTATTATCATACATGTGGAATCATCATTGTGGGGCCCCATTATTATTTTTTGGAGACTTCAAAATTGCTGTTAGGTGTGGTTGTAGCTAGAGTTTTCCTGCCTTGCCCACAGTCAGGACAAATCTTTCTCACCTGCCAGTCCCACAGCCACCCAGACCCAACCAAGTAAACACAGAGACTTATATTGCTTCAAACTGTATGGCCGTGGCAGGCTTCTTACTAACTGTTCTAATAGCTTAAATTAATCCATTTCCACAAATCTATACCCTGCCATGAGGCTCATGGCTTACCGGCATTTTCACATGCTGCTTGTCCTGGCGGGCGGCTGGCAGTGACTCCTTCTGCCTTCCTGTTCTTTTATTTTTCCTCTCTGTTAATCCCACCTATACTTCCTGCCTAGCCATGGCCAATAAGGTTTTATTTATTGACCAATCAGAGCAAGAACATTTGCCATACAGACCATCCCGCAGTATAGCCAAGTGTGGACCATCTCAGACACCTGCACTCAGGCCCATGGTCCTAATCATCCTCTATGCAGACCTGCTGGGTAAAGCCACAAGGAACCCAAGAACAGGCTCCCACAGGACATACAGAACATCCCACAGCACTTCCACCATCCTTTTTTTCAAAAAGGAAGGTTTTAACCTTAACAAAGTAAAATTACATATAATTTGGGAATTTGGGCTTAGTTTCTCTTACTACTTCCTGCTGGAGGGGGGCACTGTATCTTATGGGGATACAAAGAAAATTTTAGGATTATGGAATAGTCCATGAGGCTGTAATGTCTGAGCCAGTTGCCTTTAAACCATTCTGGATATTGGATAATCTGGGACATGGTGTCATCAGAGACCTTTCAGGGGGTCTTGGCTGGTCAAACCTGATGTATCTTAATCTGGAACAAATCCATAGCCTCTTGATTTCTGTGAAAACAAAAGCAGAGCCTCCTTTCCAAAGTAACACATCCTTATATCCAAGTTTTAAAGTCAAGGAATCTTTAAAATATACACATTGGTTTAACTCAACATCTTTTTCGATCAAATGTTTTTCTGTAGTTAAAAATCCCAAAGACAATATTATCCAGCCTCTCTGTGTGATATCCATCTTTACATGGCTTATTTTTTATATTACTTTTACTTTCTCTATAAGACTTTATTTTTTAACTTTTTATTTCTTTATATAATTGTCTATGTTCCTTTTCCTCTCTCTTCCAAGCCTATGTACATTTTTACACACATTGTAAAGCATTTAAAGTCTTGTTCCATCTGAATCTGTCTTATTGTCAATCTATTGCTTTAAACTGCAGCATTTCTAAGACTGAAACGTTGCTATGTTTGCTGACTCCACCCACCTCAGCTTCCCAAAATGGCAGTGGTCTGTTTACCACCAGCTCTGGGAGCTATCATGGGACTATGCTTTTATCCATGCAGTGTGTAGCCCAGAAACCTTTTTTTTTTTTGTACTAGCAAAGGCTAAATCCACCATGCAGCTTAATGTGCCACTTACAGAGGCCTCATTCACACCATACTGCAGGTCAAGCACACATGCCAGGAACCCACAAATAGCTCAAACAGGCAAGCAGCCACTCATTTGAGAGAGACAATTAGGAAGCTGTTTTTAGCTCCGTTTTAGAATTTTTTCTCAGGTTTTAGGTGGAAATTCTTGCCTTCTCATTGGGTGCCATTTGTAGCTAGAGCTTTCCTGCCTTGACCACAGTCAGGACAAATCTTTCTCACCCACCAGTCCCACAGCTGCTCAGACCCAACCAAGTAAACACAGAGACTTATATTGCTTACAAACTGTATGACCATGGCAGGCTTCTTGCTAACTGTTCTTATATCTTAAATTAATCCATTTCCACAAATCTATACCCTGACATGCAGCTCGTGGTTTACCAGCATTTTCACATGCTTCTTGTCCTGGCGGGCAGCTGGCAGTGACCCCTTCTACCTTCCTGTTCTTTTATTTCTCCTCTCTGTTAGTCCCGCCTATACTTCCTTTTAGTGCTGTTCTGTATGTCCTGTGGGAGCCTGTTCTTGGGTTCCTTGTGGCTTTACCCAGCAGGTCTGCATAGAGGATGATTAGGACCATGGGCCTGAGTGCAGGTGTCTGAGATGGTCTGCACTTGACTGTGCTGGGGGATGGTCTGTATGGCAAATGTTGTTGCTCTGATTGGTCAATAAATAAAACCTTATTGGCCATGGCTAGGCAGGAAGTATAGGCGGGACTAACAGAAAGGAGAAATAAGAGAACAGGAAGGCAGAAGGAGTTACTGCTAGCCACCCGCCAGGATAAGCAGCATGTGAAAATGCTGGTAAGCCTTGAGCCTCATGGCAGGGTATAGATTTGTGGAAATGGATTAATTTAAGCTATAAGAACAGTTAGTAAGAAGCCTGCCATGGTCATACAGTCTGTAAGCAATATAAGTCTCTGTGTTTACTTGGTTGGGTCTGGGTGGCTGTGGGACTGGCAGGTGAGAAAGATTTGTCCTGACTGTGGGCAAGGCAGGAAAACTCTAGCTACATGTGGTCATGATTTCCTGCAGGAAACTGATAGTGACTCCAACAGAAAAAAACATGTAGAGGCAGCTAGATGAAGCCTTTTTCCTAAAAATAATTAGTACTCTAAATGACCATTAATATTATGACAAAAGTTAAATTATATATTAATCTTATAAATTCTGATATAAAATTCATACATTAACAAAAGTTTTAAAGATTCAAAAATAGAATGAAAGAATTATGAGCTTAGTGGCAATAGAATACACCCTTAATTTTGGTTTACTTCTGTCCCATATCAGATGGATCTTCTGACATGATACAGAGATTTTGTATTTTCATTTAACAAACATGCTTGGGTTTACAGAAGGAGAAAGCCTTTCTCCAACTCCAAAACCAGCTTTAAATTTTAATTGAACTCAGACTACATAAAGACCATTTGTGTCATGTGTCTGTAGAGAAGAGCAGAAACAAACATTTAGGAAGACTTATGAAATTTTATATGTCATATACCAATATACTAATTTATTCTTTCTTGGAACATTTTTTCTTAATGATTTGTCCTTTTTCTTCAGATGTCTCGTTTGTATAGTATTCTTCAGATTCCTTAGCCTTCATTCCCTGAAAGATAAAAACCCTTCCCCAAGACTAACTTTAGGGAGGTTCCCTTTTGGCAAGTTATATCTGACAAATTGAAAAGCATTTGTTAATGGTATAAGTTAGTTTAAATTTGATGTTCATGCTGGTTGATGAGCTATCACCTCCTCTAACTAAGAGGTTTCTCTTGTTCAAATAGAACCTGTATCAATTTTGATGGTATCCATAGCTTCTGTTCTCCCATAGAAACAAAAGCAAAACCTCATCACAATGTAACACATATCCTGGTTTCTATTCTGAGGTCAGCACATCTTTAAAGTACATAGACTGGTTTAATTCTGTAGATTTTTTCTATTATCCAATGTCTCTCTGAAGCTGCTGTTCCTTTCTCATTAGCACTGAGAAAGGTTAAAGTTAATAGAGCATTAAGTAATCTATTTCTCGGGGTTTTGTTACCCCTTTCTGTTTATTTAGCATACACTTTAGAGTTCGATTTGACCTTTCTATAACAGTTTGGCCTGTAGGATTATGTGGTATACTTGTAATGTGTTTTATATTGTAATAAGGAAAAAAACTGTTTCATTTTAACAGAGACGTATGATGGGGAATTGTCAGTTTTAATTTGTACATGTATACCCATAATGTCATAACTTCTAGCAAACACATGGTGACTGAATCAGCTTTTCCAGAACTCAAAGCAGTTGCCCATTGAAATATTGAAAAAGTATCGATACTGTGGTGTACATATTCAATTTTCCAAATTCTGCAAAGTGAAACACATCCATCTGCCAGATTTCATTCCTCTGACTACCCTTTGGGTTATATCCTGCTGGTAGCAGAATCTGATTATAAAAAGAACAAGTAGGACATTAATTTAGAATTTCCTTGGCTTGTTGCCAGATTATGGAAAAATTCTTTTTGAAACCCTTACTATTGACATGATGTTTATATGGAATTCTGAGGCCTCCAGCAAATTTCCTATGAATACTTTATCAATCTTATCATTACCTTGTGTTTGAGGACCTGGAAGACACATATGGGATCGGATGTGAGTTATGTATAAGAGATGCTTCCTATTCCTGATTATATCTTGTAACTGAATAAATAACAAAATTAATTCTGATTTATCAAGGATAAATATGTAAGTCTCAATATGTAAGACCACTCTTTCAGCATACTGAGAGTCAGTAACTATGTTGAGAGGTTCTGAAACAGAATAGCCTATAACTCCAATTTTTGACAAAATTATAAGGACTCTGAACCACTTTATTTAAATTTTCTGATTTGTAACTTGCCTTTCCTTGTTTTTTTGCACCTGTATAAAATGTACAGACTCCAGATATAGGTGTTTCCCATACAAGGACAGGCAGAATCCAATCAGCTCTCTTTATAAGTTCAATTCTATCACTTTTGGGATATTTGCTATTAATCACTCCCAAAAAAATGACTGCAAGCTCTTTGCCAAAGTTCACTTTCTGCCCATAATTTGTCAATGACCTCCTTAGTTAAAAGTACTATGATTTCTGCTGGGTCTATTACTGCTAATTGATGAAGTCTCAATTTTTTAAAATCAAATCAGAGACCTTTTCCATGTAAGTTTTTAATTTTACTGTATTTATTTGGTAGAAATATCCATTCCAATCAATATAATATCTTCCCTCTGCATTAAAATTCCTGTGGGAGAATGCATAGAGTGTAAAATAACCAAAAACCAATCAAGCTCTGGATCCACACAATCCACATGTGCATCTATTTTCCTGTACTCTATTTTCCACCAAGGCCAATTCTCTCTCAACTTCAGCTGATAATTCCCTTGTACTATCTAAGTCCTTGTCACCTTCTAAGGTTTTGAACAAGTTATTCACTTCATCATTTTTTATCCCAACAACAGTCCATAGAATGGAAATGACTCTGAATAATCTTTTTTTTTTTATTTCTGGTTTTTTTTTAAGATTTACTTATTTATTATTATACAATGTTCTGTCTGCACATATCCCTGCAGGCCAGAAGAGGGCACCAGATCTCATTACAGATGGTTGTAAGCTACCATGTGGTTGCTGGGAATTGAACTCAGGACCTTTGGAAGAGCAAGCAGTGCTCTTAACCTCTGAGCCAACACTCCAGCCCCTTTTTTTTAATTTTTTTTTATTTTTTTTCCGAGACAGGGTTTCTCTGTGTAGTTTTGCGCCTTTCCTGGGACTCACTTGGTAGCCCAGGCTGGCCTCGAACTCACAGAGATCCGCCTGGCTCTGCCTCCCGAGTGCTGGGATTAAAGGCGTGCACCACCACCGCCCAGCCTTGAATAATCTTTGAAAATCATTAAGAATCCATAATCAGAGACAGTGCTCCCCGCCGCTCGCGTAAGTTCTCACATGAGTTCTACTTTCGCCCTTTTGGCTCTCCCCCAGCACCGTGGCAGTTGGCAAGAACAAGCGCCTGACGAAAGGCGGCAAGAAGCGAGCCAAGAAAAAAGTAGTTGATCCATTTTCGAAGAAAGATTGGTATGATGTGAAAGCTCTGGCTATATTCAATATTAGAAACATTGGAAAGACACTAGTCAGGAGGACTCAAGGAACAAAATCGCATCTGATGGCCTCAAGGGTCGTGTGTTTGAAGTGAGCCTTGCTGATCTACAGAATGATGAAGGGCAAAAACTGTCTGACTAACGTCCATGGCATGGATCTTACCTGGGACAAAATGTGTTCCATGGTCAAAAAGTGGCAGACCATGATTGAAGCTCATGTGGATGTCAAGACAACTGATGGTTATTTGCTCCATCTGTTCTGTGTTGGTTTCACTAAAAAACACAACAACCAGATACACAAGACCTCTTATGCACAGCACCAGCAGGTCTGCCAGATCAGAAAGAAGATGATGGAAATCATGACCCGAGAAGTGCAGACAAATGACTTGAAGGAAGTGGTTAATAAATTGATTCCAGACAGCATTGGGAAAGACATAGAAAAGGCTTGCCAGTCCATTTATCCTCTTCATGATGTCTTCGTTAGAAAAGTAAAAATGCTGAAGAAACCCAAGTTTGAATTGGGAAAACTCATGGAGCTCCATGGTGAAGGTGGTTCTGGAAAAGCTACTGGTGATGAGACAGCTGCTAAAGTTGAGCGAGCAGATGGATATGAACCACCAATCCAAGAATATGTTTGAAATCCAGATTTCTAATAGTGACAAATAAAAGTCTTATTTGTGATGAAAAAAAAAAGAGACCATAATCAATCTCTCCTAATTTGTACCTTTGGGCATGTAACTTTTTTTAGACCTATTTTGTCTCCTAAATAATTAATTAAATCTCTTTGTATTTTCAGGAGCAATTTATAATCCTCAACAAGGCAAAATTTTCCTTACTTCTTCAAACGTTCTTTCTATATTCTCTGCATTTGAATCAGCTAATAAAATACCATCCATGTAATGATAAATTATAGATTTAGGAAATTGTTTATGTATTACTTCCAATGGCTGTTGTACAAAATATTGCCAAGTGTTGGGCTATTTAACATTCCCTGTGGGAGAACCCTCCATTGATATCTCTTAACCGGTTGAGAATTATTATAAGTAGGCACCATGAAAGTAAATCTTTGTCTTTTTCTTGTAAGGGGAGTGACAAGAAACAGTCATTTAAATTGATAACTATAAGAGGCTATCCTTTAGGCAAATCCTTTAGGCTATTCTTTAGGCTATCCTTTAGGCAAAGGAATTCCAGATTTTAGAGAGCCCATTAACTGAATTACTTTGTTAATTGCTCTTAGGTCTGTTACAATTCTCCATTTACCAAATTTCTTTTTAATATCAAGTACAGGTTGATTCTTAAATATGGTGAGCATTTAACTGCTCTTGTACCAGCTCTTCTAAAGCCTGCAGTTTCTTTGTTGTTAAAGGCCATTGCTGAACACATACAGGCTTGTCTGTTAACCATTTTAAAGGTAGAGCTGTTGGTGTCTTTGAAAGACCAGCAGTTGTTGTGCCCTATCCTTGTACAATCTGGGTGGCCAGTAACTGTTCTTTATAATAATATCTCCTAATATTTCTCTCAGAAACATGTGTTTGTCTCTGAGGTTGGAGGGATGTTAATCTGAGTATTCTGTTGTTATAATAAATCATGGCATCACAAATTCATAGCTATATTAGCCACATATGGCTTTAATTTTCCTCTCTGTCCTTCTGGCCCTATATCTTCAACCCATCTTACACTCTGTTTCACTTGAGATAATGTTCCAATTCCTAACAGCTGAACATTTGCCTCCTGAAGAGACCAATTTGGATGCCAAAATTCTGGTGCAATTATTGTAACATCCACACATGTGTCTACCAGACCTTCCAAGAGAACATCATTTATTCGTATTTTTAATTTTGGTCTTTGTTCATTTATAGAAGTTTGACAAAAAATTTGCTTTATGGTTTCTCCTGAATTTCCTTTTCTCTGTGCTACAGCTGTTCTTTTACCCTGAGCAGTATGTTTTTTTTACAATAGGCATTTGATTATTAATTGCTCTAAGAAGGAGTTTCTTCTATGATGGCAGGAAAGGACTGAACTGAATTTGCCATGAGGGCCTGGGGTAGGCCCCTCAGGGAGTTTCCCAATGGTAAAGCCAAAGGATTATTTTGTCTGTCCCTTGTTGATCTACATTTATTAGTCCAATGTTTTACCTTTACCACACTTTCTGCATAATCCTGAAGGGAGGGGCATTCTGTTGCCATTGTTCCTTGAATAAACATTGTTTCTAGGAATACCCTGTTCACAGACCCTATTCAGATGACCTTGTTTACTGCAATGAACATATCTGACATTATTATTTTTCCTCAAAGCCTTTGATATCAGCTCTCCTATCTACATATCATCATGGTCACAAGACTCAATATTAGTTGTGTCCCTGATGCAATCCTCCAGGGGTGCTGATCTGGTGTTTAATGGCCTGATCACCCTCTGGCATGCTGCATTAGCATGCTGAAAAGCCAAAGATTCGATTATTATCTGTCTATCTTCTGAATTTGGTATCATTCTATTTACTGCTGAAGATGGTGTTTGTAACAAATCCATAAAGACTTCTCTTGGTCTTCATATAACTTTTGTAAATGGTTCAATTTTCTTCCCTGCTTCCTCAATTCTCTCCCATGCATTCAAGGCTGCCACATGGCATAGAGTTAGGGTTTGGTTATTATATAAAAATTGTCTTTATAAATCAGCATATTCGCCTTCTCTAAGAAGCTGATCTTGGGTAACTTCCATACCTCTAGTCCTACATAGTTGTTCTATTGTTTTAACCTCTTCTTTAAACCATGTTCTCCACTGTAATTGTGGACTAGTCTCCAGGACAGCTGTAATTAGTTCCTCCCAGTCATGTTGGATAATTCTATTGAAAGTTGACCATGAGTCCAGTTATTTTGTACCCACCCTTGATCATTTGGCAGTTCCCATAAGGTTACTGGAAAGATTAATGTTTGCTGACTGGTAACCTGAAGCTGTTTCTCTGTAACCATGTAATTCAACCCTGAGATATATTTACCTTTAAATTCTTCTGTCTGGGTCTGACTTTCTCAATAGTTCATTTTAACAGGTTTTTTAAAGTCAATCCTGAGATAGGTTCACTTTTAAATGCTCAGTCTGGGTCTGTATTTCTGTATGATTCATTTTAACTGGTTTTTCTAAAGCTTTTATCTTGGCACTTAAATTGGCCAACCTTTTTTTTTTTTTTCAAAAATAAAAATGACCAAACAAATAACATTCCTAACTGATGTTACATACATCCCATCAACATTAATTATCCTCTTATTTAATTGTACTGTTTTCAGACTGTCTAATATGTTATTAAACAGAGACCAAATTCATTGCATTGCAAAAATGTTTCCCACTTTTTAATGTGGGAAAAAAATTCTCTTTTAACTAATTCCTTCCTTTAGGATATCTTAATCGATTCAGCAAATATGTCGACTGCATAGAACAGTAGAAGTCTGAGGAAATTTCAAAGCAGCTTACATAGTATGGTACCAATCGGAGAAGGGAATCCATAGAGAGCCCACCACCCACCAGGAGAGAAAAAACAAGGAGACTCTGGCCCACTGGGTGTGGAGATCTGGCTGCATACAGCTCAGCCCTAAGCCAAAGATCTGTAATGCCACAAGCGTCTTTTTAATGAATTCTTGCCACAAAGTGTAGGGTAACAAATGTAACATAAATCTTTTATTTTTATTTTTATTTTTATTAATTATTTTATTATTTTATAATTTAATTTAATTTTACATATCAGCCATGGATTCCCCTGTCCTCCCCCCTCCTCCCCCCCCCCCTGCCTTACCCCCACCCCATCCCCATGCCCATCTCCTCCAGGCAAAGACTCCCCTGGGAATTCAGTTCAACCTGGTAGATTCAATCCAGGCAGGTCCAGTCCCCTCCTCCCAGGCTGAGCGAAGTGTCCCTGCATAAGCCCCAGGTTCCAACCAGCCAGCTCATGAACTAAGGACAGGTCCCAGTCCAACTACCCTGGATGCCTCCCAAACAGTTCAAGCTAATCAACTACCTCATTTATCCAGGGTACCTGATCCAGTTGGGGGCTCCTCAGCTATTGGTTCATAGTTTATGTGTTTCCGTTCATTAGGCTATTTGTCCCTGTGCTTTTTCCTATCTTGGTCTCAACAATTCTCAATCATACAATCCCTCCTCTTTCTCACCAAGTGGACTCCTGGAGCTCCACCTGGGGCCTAGCCATGGATCTCTGCATCCAGTTCCCTCAGTCATTGGATGAGGTTTCTAGCATGACAGTTAGGGTGTTTGGCCATCCTATCACCAAAGTATGTCAGGTCGGGCACTCTCTCAACCATTGCCAGTAGTCTGTTGTGGAGATATCTTTGTGGATTTCTGGGGACCTCTCTATCACTTTGCTACTTCCTATTCTCATGTGGTCTTCATTTATCATGGTTTCTTATTCCTTGTTCTCCCTCTCTGTTCTTGATCCAACTGTGATCTCCCACTCCCCTAAGCTCTCTTTCCATTGAACCTTGCCCTTCATTACCCCCACTCACGTCCAGGTTGTTCATGTAGATCTCCTCCATTTCTCTGTCATTGGGCATTCTCTGTGTCTTTCTTAGGGTCCTTATTTCTAGGTAGCCTCCCTGGAGTTGTAAGTAGCACTCTAGTCATCTTTGTTTTACATCTAGTATCCTCCTATGAGAGTACATACCATATTTGTCTTTCTGATTCTGGGTTACCTCACTCAGGATGATTTTTTTCTAGATCCATCCATTTGCCTGCAAACCTCATGATGTCATTGTTTTTCTCTGCTGAGTAGTACTTCATTGTGTATATGTACCACATTTTATTTATCCATTCTTCAGTTGAAGGGCATCTAGGTTGTTTCCAGGTTCTGACTATTACAAACAATGCTGCTAAGAACATAGCTGAGCAAGTGCCCTTGTGGTATGATTGAGCATTCCTTGTATATATGCCCAAGAGTGGCATAGCTGGGTCTTAGGGGAGATTGATTACCAATTTTCTAAGAAAGCACCATATTGATTTCCAAAGTGGCTGTACAAGCTTGCATTCCCACCAGCAGTGGAAGAGAGTTCTCTCTGCTCCATGTTCTCTCCAGCATAAGCTGTCTTCAGTGTTTTTGATCTTAGGCATTCTGACAGGCATAAGGTGGTATCTCAGAGTTGTTTCTATTTGCATTTCCCTGATGACTAAGGATGGTGAGCAATTCCTTAGGTGTCTTTCAGCCATTTGAGCTTCCTCTGTTGAGAATTCTCTTTTTAGTTCTATAGCCCATTTCTTAATTGGCCTGTTGGGCATTTTGATGTCTAATTTCTTGAGTTCTTTATATATTCTGGATATCAGCCCTCTGTCAGATGTGGGGTTGGTAAAGATCTTTTCCCATTCTGTAGACTGTCGCTTTGTCTTGTTGACCATGTCCTTTGCTCTACAAAAGCTTCTCAGTTTCACATGGTCCCAATGATATTAGCCTATTCTGGCATACATGGTCTCTTAGTGTCTGCATTACATCTGTCCAGGTCCTTCTTGCTTTCAAAGTCTCCATTGAAAATTTGGGTGTCATTCTGATGGGTTTGCCTTTATAAGTCATTTGGTCTTTTTCCTTTGCTGTTCTTAATAGTCTTTCTTTATTCTGTAGGTTTAGTTGTTTAATTATTATGTGGCGAGGGGCCTTTTTTGAGGTGTGTAGTCTTTTTGGTGTTCTATAGGCTTCTTTTATCTTCATAGGCATTTCCTTCTTTAAGTTAGGAAAGTTTTCTTCTATGATCTTGTTGAATATATTTTCTGTGCCTTTGAGTTGGTATTCTTCTCCTTCCTTTATCCCTATTATTCTTAGTTTTGGTCTTTTCATGGTGTCCCAAATTTCTTGGACATTTTGAGTCATGACTTTGTTGGCTTTAGTGTTTTCTTTGATGGATGAATCTATTTCTTCTACCGTATCTTCAATGCCAGAGATCCCCTCTTCCATCTCTTGCATTCAGTTGGTTATACTTGCATCTGAAGTTCCTGTTTGTTTACTCAGATTTTCTATTTCCAGCATTCCCTCTGTTTGCATCTTCTTCATTTTTTGTATTTCCCTTTTCAGGTCTTGGACTATTTCCCTCATCTGTTTCATTGCTTTTGCATGATTTTCTTTTGGGGATTTAATGTTTTCTTCTGCTTTGTCCTTTCCTCTAGTTTTTTATATCATTCTTTCCATTTTTTGTTTGTCTGTTCCTTAATTTCATTTTTGATTTCTTCTTTATAAGCCTCTAGCCTCTTCATGATGTTATCCATAAGGTTGCTTTCCTCTGCTTCTTCCATTTTGTGATGTTCAAGGCTGGCTGTTGAAGGATGTAGCTAGAGTTTTCCTGCCTGGCCCACAGTCAGGACAAATCTTTGTCACCTGCCAGTCCCACAGCTTCTCAGATCCAACCAAGTAAACACAGAGACTTATATTGCATACAAACTGTATGGCCATGGCAGGCTTCTTGCTAACTGTTCTTATAGCTTAAATATACCTTGCCACGTGACTCATGGCTTACCGGCATCTTCACATTGTGCTTCTCCTGGGTGTGGGGGCAGGGCAAGAAGATTGCAGGGTCTCTGGTCCAGATAGGGACTCTGGGAAGGATGAGAGCTGGGGGCTGGTCTGTAACACGAATCTTAAAAGATTTTATTAATAAAAAATCCAGAACCAGAAATTGGGGTGAAAATCTGAGGGAGCAGAAAGAAGTAAGCCACATTCTCGCCCCTTGGAGACCCTCCACCAAAGAGACCTACTTCCTGTATACCCATGCCTTTCTGTTCTGCCATCTCACTTCCTCTCCACTCAGATACATTACTTCCTGTCTGTCTGTATAGAACTCCAGTCATTTATGTTTAGTGCTGGGATTTAAGGTGTGTGCCACCATGCCTGACTCTATTCCCACTGTGGCCTTGAACCCACAGAGATCCAGATGGATCTGTGCCTCCCGAGGAATAGGATTAAAGGCATGTGCTACCACTTGCTGACCTCCATGTTTACTATAGTGGCTGGCGATAAAGGCATGGGTAAGACTGGAAGTAGCACTTTGGAAGCTGTGGCACGGTGAGGTAAGGTTAACTGGTGGCTGTTCCAATTCCTCTGCTCTCTATCAGATTTTTCACCCCTATTTCTAGCTCTGTGGTTTCTTGTTGGTTTGTTTGTTTTTTTGTTGTTTGTTTAATAAGACTACTTAGAAATTCATCTACATTTCATGCTATGAGAATTTCACACATAAACACAATATAATTTGTTCATTTACATGCCCTACTCCCCCAATCAAATTCCTTTGGAAGCTATACCTAATCCCCCACCCAAATTCATGTCTTCTTTTCTCTTTATAACCTACTAAATTGGCTGGGTGGTGTTGGAGCATGCTTTTAATCTCAGCACTTGAGAGGCTGAGACAGGTGAATCTCTGAGTTCAAAGCCAGCCTTGTCTGTAGAGTGAGATCCAGCGCAGCCAAGGCTACACAAACACTCATACATTTCAAATTAAATTTTTAAATCAAAACAGTGTTTTTAAAATTGAACTTACTTCTTTATTTGTCTCTCTGTGAATGTACAATTTCCCCATCCACAATGAATGTTAGCTGGTGGTGTAGCTAAGTGTAGCTCTCAGCCCTCATCAAAGAAGATTCTTTCTGCTGCACATGGAGGCTTCCATAGAGATCCATAACATGACAAATGCAGAGTAAGTGAACATAGGGTGCACAGCCTAGTTTGTTTTATATTTTATACTTATATTACATTTGTAATGCAACCTCTACCTAAAGATCAGGAACCATAGACTGTAAGAGCCTGAGGACCAAGACAACTGAAGTTACATAGTGATATCTTGACATGACAGGTGTGCTGTGTTTGTGAAATCTCAACCATGAGGCTGCTGTAACAAAGCCCCAGGAACAACACCACCAGCTAACATTCATTGTGGATGGGGAAATTGTACAAAGTCTCACATCTAGATGAAGACCTATAGGCAATCAATGGGTGCTGAGAGGAGCGAACCAGTCTTCTCCAGGGTTCAGCCCCATGATAGGTCATCTAATTGGAATTGGTCAGCAATAAACACATATAATAATCAGCAACTCTAAATGGACTTACATACATGTGTGCATGTTTGTGTGGTGTATGTGTGTGTGTGTGTGTGTGTGTGTGTGTGATAATAATCATAGAAAAACAGGTCATAAACATGAGAGGAAGTGTTGGGTACATAGAGCTGGACTGTAAATGATGTGAATACAGTACTCATGTATGAAATTATCAAATTAAAAAATTAAAAGAAAAACATGCATTGTGAAAATTAATTCAAATAAAATATTTTTAAAATATTGTCTATCCATACTTATCCTTTGATAATTTAATATATGCATATAATTAAATTTGGTCATTTCACTCTCCAATTAACCTCCTTTGCCCTCTCCTGCTAAACCTCTTCTTCCTCACTTGCCGCTTCTCACTTTCATAGCTATTTTTGTGTGTGTGACTCATTGAGTTTATTTGGAGTTTCTTGCCAGGGTGTGGGTGGAATGCAATATGCTGGAG